ACAGCGGATGACAGGACAGCGGATGACACGACAGCCGATGACACGACAGCCGATGACACGACAGCGGATGACAGGACAGCGGATGACAGGACAGCGGATGACACGACAGCCGATGACACGACAGCGGATGACAGGACAGCGGATGACACGACAGCGGATGACAGGACAGCTGATCGCAGGACATCGGATGACAATGTTTGGGCCAGGGCTGACTTAAATCCGTCCGACAATGATGACGTTGAAAATCCTGAACTACGGGGAACTGTTCTAATACAAGAGAATAATGTCACGACAGATGAGGAATATTTTCAAGATTTTGAACGTGTTCGAGCCAGGTCTGACAATGATGACGTAATTGCCGAAGTTGAGGAGAAAATTCTACGCGAAACAATTCTGTAATTTTCATTATATAACCGTTCCATTAATTGACATTACTATTTTGTTGGCATATCATTTGTTAGGGTGTTTACTGTTACTTATTTAATAATATATACATGAAAAAATCTCAATTCTGATTACCTAAGAAAAGAAGATAGCTCATTAGACTGTACAAAAAAATAAGTTTAGCTCCAAAAATGTAATTAAGACACGCTTTTGGCAACCACCCAAATTACAGGAACGTTGTATTCTGACAGTTCAAAATATCAAATGAATCATTTCGTGCGTTTGTGTTCAATTTTGACAAGCAACTATGCATTGATTCTGATTTTTCATGTATATTATTAATAAGTAATTATGTTATTTCTCGCTCAATTTGAGGAGACATAACACTTGTCCTTTGGGCTCGTGCAATTTTGATCGTCGTTGAAAAACTCACTCGTGCATTTTTTTTACAAATTGCGCTCGAAACATTATTTGCAGTACCATACAAACTTTGCGCACTGAACGACATCGACGCAGGCACATCCTATATGTATGTATTTCCCCAATTGATAATTGTATATCAAAGATTCAGAGTAATCTTTGCATTAATTTTTTTTTGTTTTAATTGAATATTTTCGTCGTTCAGTTATTCCTTCGACCGATCTGGCGTCAAGTAATGACATCAATTTGAATTTTTCATTCAATTTAGTTCAGTATGTGGGCCACTGATCTGCATGAAAACAACAACTGGATGGAGCATTCTTTCATGCCTGTATATTTAGTTTTTTGGAGGTAGCCAAAAATATTTGCAGTTAATCCTGCGTGGTCCAAACGTGCCAGCTTCGCTTGAAGCTTGCGAGTTATGTTTTATATAGAGCGTTTGCACTCATTCCCCAGGGACCAACTCAACAAAAGCTATAGCGGCCATGTTGGTGTTCCAGACAAAAGAGTCTATTAAAATTATTTTGAATTGGAACACCAACATTTCGTCTGTGACGTCATGTGCAAACGCTCTATTGTCAAAATTGAGTGTCCGTTAATTTGCTCCAACCCGATTGCTCGAAGATTTTCATATATCAAGCCGACAAGATTGACGGCTGATGAATAAAATTCGGCCACAGAACAGGAAATTAGTCGAACCACGCAACGCTTGTTAGTTTAATATTTGTATTTTTACAAGTTTTATAAAAACTTGAAATGAAATTAAAACTCATCAAATTGATCAAAACACAAGTATATGATTATGAGTTCAGTAATCAATTGACAAGGTGACCTGAGCAAGGATTGCAATTAGCTTCAGGTACTTGCAGGTAGCGCCCAGGATCCCAACATTTGAATCAGACATGCATTCTTTTGAATAAGGCAATGTTGAAGCCAGAATATTTATAATGAGAACGGAATTTTAAATCTGGCAAAATCTTTACAAACCGAATTGTTATACGTGTTCCAGTTAATTTCACTATGTCGTGGCCTATGTAGCTTGAAATATATATCTTCCAATTTCTCCCCTAATAATGCTAATATATTATGAGACACCATGTACACCTATATATATTAAGATTTATATAGGTTAGGTCTAAATTTGTATATAATCTTACGCTTTATTTATATATATATATATATACAGCTAATTCAATAAAGGTTGTCCTTTGCAAACCTTAAACTCTAAAACCTTAAACCTTAAACTCTATAAGCGCGCAAAGCGTAATGGGAGCACTATTTAAGCAGTTTAGAAAGCATACATGGAGCCCATTTCTTAGATACATGGTAAATATGTGCCTGCGAAAACATTTCACTCACAAACAGCTGCAATATTCAACTACAAAGCTTGAAATCAGTACTCCCATTATGCTTTGCGCGCTTAGAGTTTAAGGTTTAAGGTTTAGAGTTTAAGGTTTGCAAAGGACAACCTTTTTTGAATTGGCTGTATATATATATATATATATATATATATATATATATATATATATATATATATATATATATATATATATATATATATATATATATATATATAATATATGT